GAAATGGGAAATGATAGGTAGATTGCAAGGAGGCTCAGGAAGGCTGATGATAGTACAGTATGAGTGTATAGCACATTATCTGCCGAGTTAACTCTTGGTGCCCATACTGTCTCAACCATGTTAGAGATGCCTTACACACTATTGCTACTGCGCTAGTCATGATGTTTCTGTTAATGTTTGCTTATTTCTTGCTTGACACTTAAACAATCTTCTGGGTTTATGGGTTTTTTTTTTTTTTTTTTTTAAGCCAGTGTTGTTTTTGTGTAATAAGAAATTTTAGACAAGTCTTAGGATGTGGTAGCAATGTTTAGGCAGTATCTACCCTCACTGGCTCTCAAGAAAGAAATCTTGTTTTATGTGTAGCAGCACTTCCCACCCTTATTACCACAAAGGTGTGATGGAGATTCATTAGTTGCAATTCACCCTCTAATGGTTTCATTCTTTTGTGCACAAAGAATGTGAGTAACCACTGACTGCCCTTTGATTACCCCAGTAGAAAGGAAACAGAGATGGCAAGATATGTCAGAGCTTGCCCAGTTGGGCCTTGGAGTATAAAAATATCTAGGTTTCTTTTTCTCTCCAATGTTGACTTCTTCCCTGGTTCCCATTCCCACTTGCTTTCAGCAGAATGAGGGTGAGGGGATAGGGGTAGGTGGATGTTTTGGTTACCTCGTGTCACTCTGACAGGAATATACCACAAATGGGATGGCTAGAATAAACAGGGATTTATTCCCTTATAGTCTGAGAGGTTAGAAGTCCAAGTTCAAAGTGCCAGGCCTCTAGGGGCTGGGTGAAAGCCCCTCAACCTTGGGTTTCAGCTCTGATTTCTGTTCCCAGCCCACTGAAGCTGTAGGCTTTTCTTCACTCAGGCAGCTGCTGGCTGCTGAGGCTGACAAACCCAAGGTTGACAAGTAGAAAGGCACAGTTCCAATATTACCAAACAACACAGCAAGCAACTAACTCAAATCCAGAAGTCCCAAGATTGGCAGGGCATGGCAGGCTGCTGAACAATGGCTTGGCTATATGCAGGGTTCAAGAGTGCCAAAAAGCTGCAGACCATTCTCAAAGTTTCTACTTATATATGGGAAGCAGAACACATCCCCAAAACAGCTACTTATGGCAGCTTCCACCATGGAGTTGATTGCCAGGCTCATCATGTGGAATAACTATTACCAGCTGCCTAGCCACTCAAAACCAGGCCCAGCGAAGTTGACACATAACCTTAACTACCACAGTGGACTAGCCTTCCTGTCTTCTTCCTGGAAAAATATACATTGCTCTATGCAAACAAAGACTGGGATAAACAGCAGGTCTGAGGGCGCTGCTTAACCCAAGGCTTGCCAAGTAAAAGTTTGGCTGAATGGGGTTCCTGTGGCAAAGGAATGTTTGTAGTACAGCATATGCACTTTTTAAAGCTGGTCCATATATGTAACTTAAACTTCCTTATATTAACCCTCAAAAAAACAAACCCACTGCCACTGAGTCGATACCAACTCATAGTGATGCCTATCTTGCAGTAGATTGCCTCATCTTCCTTCTGCCAAGCAGCTGGTGGGTTTGAACCATCAGCCTTCTGGTTTGCTCAGTGCCTTACCCACTACACCACCAGAACTCCTTATAATAGGATATCGACTTCTTAAAAGCAAGAACCTGGTCTTAACTTTACTTTGTAAGACAGAAAGGCAGTTTAGTACATTGGTTATTCATGTAAACTTGGAGACAGACACAAGGCTCTACCACTTCCTTGCAAGTGACTGTGAGCAAGTCATCCGTCCATGCCTCGTGTTACCCATCTATAAAGTAATCCCCCCCCCAAAAAAAAAAAACAAAACCCAAACTCACTGCCATTGAGTCGATTCAACTCATAGTGACCCCTACTTGGATTTCTAAGGTGGTTATCTGTACAGAAGTAGATTGCCTAATCTTCCTTCAGAGGTGTGGCTGCTGGGTTTGAACCATCAGCCTTCTGATTAGCAGTCAAATGCCTTAGGCACTCTGCCACCAGAGCTCACCATCTATAAAGTGGAGATGGATAATAGATTCTATCTTACATCATTGATGTATGGGTTAAGTAAGTTAACATAAGTGCTTCAAATGGTGCCCTCAGCTAACACTTGATGTTTTTAGAGCGCCATGGAGGGTTTGTTGAATTTTGGCAGAATGACCTGTAAGGCAGTGTCTATTCACAGCTGTTCTCTGCTACTTTCTTACTAATACCCACTTATTTTTTCAAGTAACTAACCTCCATGAAGGGTGACCTTTCCTCAGGGATAAATAGTATTGCAATCCAATCATGTTAATGCCATTCTCACTGCCAGTTGAACAGTTCTGGTCAATGAGTCAAGAAAAAGGAAATGGATTCCTCTTTCTTTAAAAGAAAACATAGAACAAATGCCCCTATTCTTTTGTGGACTTTGTTGTCTGGATACGATGCCTGAAACTTCAGCAAACATGAGGGTAGTTAGTCTAAGGACTCAGCTAACATGTTTTCAATGACAAAGCAGAAAGAGAAAGAATATGGACCCTGTATGAGGTCATAGAGTTGCTAAATCAATCAATCACTGGGATTACCTACCCATGTACTGCTTTTAGGAAAAAAAAAAATACATTTTCCTAGTAGTTTAAGTTTCAAATCCTAACTCAAATAGGCATGGGTCTTGCTTATACATATTTTTATTGCACCTGGGACTTAATCACTGTTATTGAGTGCTATGATTATATGAATGGGCTGAGTAGGGCAAAGGAAGTCTCAAGAATGTTCTGGGTTAGTGCAGGTCCAACTCTTCTTTGCCTTTCAGCACATTAATCAACTGGGAACTATCTTTTCCTGACACCTGTGGCATCTTTCCAAAATGCTGATTTTCCTAGTTGTCTGAACCTGTTACCCAAACTTGGCAGGGTATTTTTCAAAGCCAGATGGATTTTGATTGTTTCCTTAGCAATAATCATTATTTCCCTCCTGGGTGGAAGGATAGTCTGAGGACAGCTTATCTTTTTGAGGCAGGTGGAGAAGAGGTGGGGTCTCTTATATAATATGAAATATAAGGAAGTTTACCTTGGGCTGGAAGTGTCAAAAGATTCCTTAGAATTTATAGCCATAGGGAGTTTATGGTATGTTAGGTTACTAACTGATTTGGTGCTGTATCTGAGCCAGAACTGGTACCAGAGTACATGTGAGTCTATTCTGACTCACAGTGACCCAATAGGGTAGACTAGAAATGCCCTACAAGGTTACAGGGTGTAAATTTTTACAGAAGCTGAGTGCCACACATCTTTCTCCTGTGGAGCATTCCTGGTGGGTTGGAATTACCAACCTTTCGATTAGCAGCTGAGTGCTTAACCACTGAAACACCAATGTTCCTCAACAACACACCTATCCCATTTGCATCAAGTTGATTCCAACTTATGGTTACTCCATAGAACAGAGAAGAACTCCTTATAGGGTTTCCAAGGCTAGAAATCTTTATAGAAGCAGATTGCCATATCTTTCTCCCACAGAGCAGTTGGTGGGTTAGAACCACTGACCATTCAGTTAGCAGCCAAGTGCTTAACTGCTACACAACCAGGGCTCCTTAATAAAGCACCTAAAAAACCTCAATTCCATAGGAACACATCTTGTCACCAAAACAAACCAAAAGACCAAACCATCAAGTTGATTACGACTTGTAACCCTCTGTGACCCTATAAGTCACCAGTGGGAAAAACAAGGGTAAAAGGACTTCTTAACTTGCTTTTGTAAGTTGCTTTTCATCAGTATACCTTCAAGACTCCTCCAAGTGGGAGAGTCTCACAATTCAGTGAAAGCAGGTTGCAGACAGCAGGGGTGAAGCTGGAGGGCTGAGGGGAAAGCAAAGGACTCTGCATGAAACACTTTAAACCTTTTACCAGCTATTTAAATGGTTTTAATTTGTAACACATCACACATGACTTTACTTCTGCCTCCTTTTCTACCAACAATTCTTCCTAATTTTTCTAACTACTGACTCTTAAAAGTTAACTAGATCCTCAAGGAATAGGGCACAAAAAGCTTTTCATGGATAATTAATCCCCTGCACACTTGCTTGTATTATCTGTTCAGAGTATAAATTCCCTACCAGAGATTTGTGAAGACAGATTATCTCATTATATCAGGACTTCCTACTCTTCGGACATTCTCAAGTGTGGGACTTCTTTTTGGAAAGGCTGAGGTTGAATTATAACTTGCTATGCAATTTTGTTGAAGGAAGAAAGAGAAGGTAGGTCACAAAGGCAAAAACTGAACTGCTCAAAGGAAGAAAATAAAATCTGTGATGCTATTCCCTTCAAGCAAGGGTGTGAAGGGTTGATGGATTTACCAGAAGCAGCCTAGGCAGTCTGCTTTGAAGTCTTTGGGTCAGGAAAGTGACCCAGGGAAGCAGCCTTCATGATATCCTCCAAAGGTTGATTGTTGGACAACAGCCAATAAGTAAGAAGTCCCTTGAGAAATCTGTTCCCTCCCTCTTCTGGAATTGTTGGGAAACTAGAAGTCTGGCCATTAGGGGTGATTGTGAATGAATTTTCAGTGTTTTAGTGGGAAGAGAGAGCTCAGAAGTCTGTCTTTTCTTCAAAGGAAATCTGCTATAGTTTCCTCCTCTTCTGTGCAGATGTCATGTGCCAATGGATTTGGTATATGTGTGCACAGGGCCAGTCTATAGGCAGGTGACAATTTTATCAAGGAGGGTGAAGGGAAAAGGAAAACTGGCCTCATTCCTCTACTTCACGGCTTCTTTTTTCCAAAGGATTCAGGATCTGCCCATCAGAAATAATCTAACCACCACAGAAAAGATATGGAAGTGGATATGTGTGTAATTGGTCCACATCTCTCACCTGTCACCCACTGCAAATGGAGAACTGGGGGAAAACAATGCCACTGTGACTCTAGGCCTTCTGAGCTGTAGCCTAGTCCTACAGCGCACAGCCTTCTTGGCTGGTCTTGGGTTGCTGGACAACTCTCCTTTCCTGATCTTGGAGAACTGCATGGCCTATAGCTGAGAGGAGACACCAATCATTTTGGGACTGCCTGGGGTATCTGAGGCAGAGGTGATTGTGGTAGACTCTTCAACAGAGGCTCTGAGATCCAAGAATTCCAGGATGATGTCCCAAAGGCAGTAAATCAAATGCCTGAAACAAATGGACAAAACAACTTAAAGATACCAGTCAAGAGATATGAGATCCTGTTAGTGACGTTTACTTTTTTTCCCTTCTGTCCCACACTCATTGCTGATATCCTTAGTGGACCTTACACTGTAATCTGTAGATACCATGAGATACATGTTTGCTAAATTACTAAAGGTTACAAATCCAGAAATAGTACTTGAGACTTGATTTTAGAAAATTTCCTACTTACATAGTCAACATTAGCACATCAATACTGCCAAAGAATTGTGAGGGAAAATGCCTGCTAAATCAGGTTACTAGAAATTTTCAGAGATTCTGACTATTGCTATTTCTCGCAATCAATCACTATAGATCACAGGTTAGATACAGGCAATGAGGCAAAACTCAGGGCCCTGGAGGAGTGAGAGTTAACAGATGCAGAACATTGGGAGAGAGTTTGAGGGAGGAGTGGAAGAGCACTCAATAGTTTTCAAAAGCATTGGTTCCTAAGGTACTAGAGAATATTATCCACCTCTATGGATTATTCTAGTCTTCACCCAGCCTTTCTGGGTTACTTTATTGGATTCCAACCTCATTATCTTGTCTGTCTCGTAGTAAGCAAAGATAATATTTTATCATAACACTAATCATGCTTTTGCTAGTAAGACTATAAACTATGGTGAAAATCATCACAGGCCTGTAATACATAAGGCCACAGGACAGTCATGCAGTGTTCACAGGAGATAGCAGGTGTTGAAAAGACTCCTAAGCACAACAAGAACCCCAGAGGATAACAGCATTTTTAGTACCTCATCTGAGGGCCTACATCGAGTTCTTCCAAATACGGACAGTGGCTGGTCCAGTAGTAGCTACTACCTCATAACTGCCATCAAAAGGCTGGTAGTGTGGATTTTACTTCATATGTACAGACCAGGCATCAGGATCTGCAGTCAGGGCCCATGGTAAGTGAAACACATCATCTCAATCCTCTCAATGTGGTCTTTTCTTTTAGAAACCTTGGATGCCCTTGAGATCTGAGATAGCTTTTGTTATGCTGATGTTGTGGACACATTTTTTGAGCCTACCTGTTGATGAGGGGTTGCTGTAGTGATTCCAAGACTAGATCCCAGCTCAGCCGGCATTTGTTCACTCCAAGGATTTCTACTACAATATCTAATGAGGAAGAACAGATGGGATTTTAGTGGTACCATTTAAGCCTTAGATTCTAAGGAGACTATCTCCTTAGCCTCCTTAGTGATATCTGGCATATCTCCATGTCCCAAGATATCTGCCAACTTTATACAAATTAGGTATTGTTGGCATACCTCTGAGCAACATAGCCAACTACAATCTCCATAGCATGGGGAAAAACTAAGAAAAGCAGTTGTCTTAGGTTCAGTGTCCAAATAAGAATGGGCCTCAAGAAATAGTTTTGTAACCTGTCACTATAATGCAGCTACTTCTGAGAACAGAGGTTAATAAGAGTAAAAACTGGAAGGAGATATTTAAAATTGTTTGCCTAGGCTAAGAGTTCACTACTTCTCCCTAGTTACTACACCCACAGGCAATAAACTGCCTTCCCTGCCTGCTACAAAACAATACAAAGTAAAGAAATAAAATCTCTTCAAGCTTTGGTTTACTTATTGCTAAAGATGACATCTTACTCAATGGCCCTAATTTATCAAGTGTCAGCTACTGGAGGACGTATCATTTTCTTCTCTGGTCCCAAAATGTCAGGATTGGCATAGAACCTTTAGTCTTCATTTGATGGGAATGGCTCTGAAACCTGCCCTTGCAGCACAGGCAGAGCTTCTCCTACCCTTCTAAAAATTCTCTGCAGGATTCTCTTTTAGTATTTAAGGTCTGGCCATAGTGATCCCTTTCACTGCTGCAGTATTACCAGAGTGAAGGATATAAGAATCGCAGCCTCTAAAATACTATACAAAAACACTGTTCCACATCATACTTTGGCGAGTAACAACTGGGATGTTAAAAGCTTGTAAGCAGCCATCTAGATGCAACGATAGGTCTCTCCTTGTCCAGAGCAAAGAATGAAGAAAACCAAAGAAGCTTGGAAGTAATTAGTCCTTGGGACTGGTACACCATGCGATCCTCAGCCTGTATGACTATGAGACCAGAAGCACTAGATAGATGGTGCCCTGCTACCACTGTCAATCACTTTGAGGGGGAGCTATGTTGGAGATCCTGGATAGAGTGGGAGAACAATGTGTAATAAAACTCAAAATCACTAAAAAAAAAAAAAGGAACCAGGGTTGCTGGTCAGATAAAGCCTGATGGAACCCCTGTAGCTTCCAGCCAAACAAAAGACAGGCATATGAGCTGAACATTTACATTAGGTAGATGCACTCCTTGGAGAGATCAATCATGGCAGAATAGAAGAGCTGTGTATGCATAGGGAGACATCTCGGAGGGCAGGAGTGCACTGGAGGGAAGGACAGAGGGAAGAGGTAACTATGGAGAGGAAGTGGGAAGAGAGCTGTAGCATTATGGGAAATCACGGTCAATGTCATGAGAAAAAGTGTATGTGAACTACTGTATGGAAAATGGATATGCTCTGCAAACTTTCACCCAAATCACAATAAAAATAAAATAAAATAAATACTCCTAGCTCAATCAATTATCTTCCTATTAGCCCAAGAAATGGTGGTTCAAAGGTTTTTGACTCTGGGCCTCATTCAAGACCCTTTTAAAAAGGGGGAAAAGTGTGGAGTAAGGATGGAAAAAGCAGGATGGGAAAGAAACAGGTACCAGTGTATGTAATCTCAGCAGTCCAATTACCTGGCAGGACTCCCATCAGACTCTGTAAAGCCTGTTTCTTAGTAGCCACCTTCTGTTCTTGGGTCCTTACAGGCCGTGGTAACTTAGGCAAAAGTCCTCCAGGCCAGATGGATTCCTGAAGAAGCTGGAGGTACTGTACCCAGTGCTGTGGACATGTCAGATTATCTACCTGTACCTCTAGCCACCTGTAGGGGAAGAGAGAAGGAAGCTCAGGTAAACCTGAAGGAAAGGAAGTGGCAAGTCATTAGCCAGGGGAGAAATCAGGATAGGGGAAAGCAAAGTTAGCATAAACCCTCATAATTGAAGCCAAGCCAAACCAAGATTTTAGGATCACAGCATTTGAAGACCAGTAGTAATGTTACTTACTGAGTGCCCACTGTGAACCATATATTGTTTTTTAGAATCTGTTCTCTCAAAGGGCCTCTAGTCTAACCCCAGTTTTTAGGTGAGGTTACTCCTAAACCTTTCCAGCTCTCCTCAAGTGGAAAGTGTTATAACCTTTTCATAGCCTGTTCCACAGATTTAAATGTTAAGGCTTGGTAATTGTATACAAGTCCCCCTCTCACCCCACTCCAATCACATCCAGTTGTCTTCAAGTCCCCTTGTCCTGTGCCAAGGTTTTCCAATGTCTTCCCTTTGCTCCCAGCTGTCCTTTTGCTGACAAGGCCTCTTCTCTCCATGGAGCTGAAGTCTGTCCTTCAGGCAAGACCTGTTTAAACTAACCTCCTCCATGAAGTCCTTCCTGACCATTCTAGCTAGAGGTGCTCTCTTGTACCTTAGAACTCCTTTAGCACTTGGTCCTATAGCGCCAGCTAGAACAACCATTTTACTTTGTAATATTAACTGTTTTCTCATTTGTTTGCAGCTTTACTTTTCCAACTAAATTATAAGCACCACAAAAGTAGGAATGTTTGCCAACTGCCTGGCAACTGGTCTAATTTCAAAAGCATTTTCCCCCTTGTCTTACTTTCAAACATGAGCCAATAACTTTGAGGGAGCAGATGTACCAAATCTGGAGGTCCTGGAAGATCTCTGAGTTTCAATGTCATTTATTCTTTTTTTGTCCCTGCATTTTTTTCAGAGTGACATGATCATGAGGTTCAAGACTGCCAAGGCTTCCCTAGCATGTACCTGGTTGAGACAGCATGGCTTCGTTGGCCTTTGATGGAACACCTGGTCAACCACTTACACTCACACATGGAAGAATCTCTTTGGTACCACACCACATGAAAACTTGTGCTGTTACTCCTACTCCTGAGTTACTTGTCCTCCATCCAAGAGCAGAGGGGGCTGCCAAGGCAAACTTTATTTAACCTCCACCCTGCCAAACCGTCTGCATTCCACTCAAGCTAGGCATTCCAACCCTGGGGGCTGCAATCCCCCAAGCCCAGGGCTCATAAATGATTCTAAGAATAGGAAGCCTGAAAGGTAATAGCAGGGCAAGAATGGCAGACATTGATGGACATCAAGAGCAGCACAAAGCTGCTCTTGCCCAAAATAACTATCAGGATAGTATTTGTTATTATTAGGGCTGCATCGCCTTTTTATAGGGCTTTTCATTCAGCAAGCTAAGATACTTGATGAAAGGGATCCAGTAGCAAGAATTCCTATTCCTGTTTATAGAAGAGGGTCAACAAAAGGAGATGGATGCAGTAACCTGATTACGTTCTCTGAAGGGAATCAAGTGACTTGATACAAGCTCTCCCCTCTTCACCTCAAGCCACATCTGCTTCTGTGACTTTTGCTGAGGTCAGTGATGTGGACTAGGGTTTCAACTAAGTGATCTGAGGAAAAGGGACAAGGTCTTACAAACCAAAATCTAAGTTCTCCAAGGGGCTCAAAAAATCCTAGAATAAGAATTAGTTTTAGCTCAGTTTTTCATTTACATGTGCACGTAAAAAGCCAGTACCACCCTATTTTTGTAATAATGCCTGTGGCTCATACCCTTAATAGTATCTCAGAGTTCATGCAACCATTCTCAGACTCAGCATAACATGCCAGAGAAAATCTCTGTATAGCAATTATGTTTTGAATGTGTCTTACAATATATATCTGAGTATGATGAATTAACATTAATTCATCTGATGAGGACAGGACCCCACACTAAATTATGGCAAGGATTTTCTCCTCATCCTTCTCTATAGTGATCTAGCATCTCATGCACATATGCTGTATACAAACACATTTTAGAATATGGCACAACATAAATTAGTAAGTGTATACACATCTATATGACTACAGCCTATCAAACTCTAAATGGGAATGCTGGGGTGAAGAATCGAAGTATGAAAAAATAAAAAGAAGCACTTTATGAGTCAGTGTTTAAAATGTGTGGAAGCTGAGCAAAATTACTTGAAAGAAGACTGAAGTCTCCAAGTAAAGTATCAACTGCTGATAAAACAAAGATGCTTCCAATCATTATAAACCCTGAGGTACAAAACTGATTAACAGAAGACCCTAGGAGAGTCAGTCCAGGAATGTAAGAAATAGGACGTGTACAAACTAGCAGAAATAAAATAAACTTCAAGTCCAAAAGGAGGGATGAATTAAAAAAGTGGCTTCTACTCATAGGTGCTACAGAGTTTTAGCACTCCTTGGAAGGAAGGTTGGGCAATCCTACTTCTGTAGTGATACTGCCTCGGAAACCCAAGGAGGGGTCGCTATGAGTTGGGGCCGACTCGACGGCAAACAGCAATAACAACAACAATTCTTTTTGTAACCTGGAGATAAATGACACAAAACACTTGCACCACACATGACTTAAAATTTCACTCTTTTTTCAGGATTCCCCTGTTATCCAGGTTCTTCCTTCCTCTCCTCCTCTAAGAAAACAGAGACTTTCTCCTAGACATTTGTGATGAGTCTAATGCCATTTCTTAGCCCCAGGCAGCCCGTGGGGAAAGTCAAGTGCTCCAAATCTTTCTTGTCCTCAGAACGCTGAGATATACTGAAGTATACCAAGGTCATGAATGATGAACACTCCTATCTGGAAGGAAACAATGACAAAGGCAAAACCAAGAAAATCACCACCATCACTACTACTGGCCCAACTACCCTGCCCCTTACATAATACAATCTCTAAAAATTTGTGAGCTGTAATTCAGTTTCTAAGACATACTTTGTAAATGGCCAGGTGCAAAGATTTGGCATAATATGCCTTGCCTAACACCTAGCATAGAGCCAACTGTCAGTAGACTCTTGAAAACAATAAAGAGGATGGGATTTCTTTATCCAATGATTTCATCTCTCCTCTCTATTCTAATCTTCCTTTCCTTTTATTCTGTCATACTCCTCTACAGAAATGCTTCATATACACCACCATTTCTTTACCTAACGTAATTAATTCCTCTAGTTCTGCTTAAGGAGCTCTGGTGATGCAGTGGTTAAGGCATTTGACTGATAGCTAAAAGCAAATCCACCAGCCACTCTGCGGAAGAACAATGAGGCAGTATGCTTCCATAAAGATTAACAGCCTTGGAAACACAAAAGGGGTTGCTATGAGTTTGAACTGACTCAATGGAAGTATTTTTTTATTTTTTATTTTTTAAATTTTTTTAGTTCTGCTTAGTTTACTCTAAAACTACAAAAGGGAAAGCCAAGAGACTGGATTTAATGGAATTTAAAAGAGAGATAAGAAACCTTGACTTCTCATTAATTTCCTCCATTTTTTTTATTTCATATGTGATCTTTTTGTTCTTAACGTAGGAACTAAAAAAAAAAAAAAAAAAATCTCACTGCCATTGAGTTGAGTCCAACTCATAGCAACCCCCCCCACACCACTGGGTTTCTAAAGCATTAAATCTTTACAGAAGTAGAGTGTCTCAACTTCCTTCTGCAGAGTGGCTGGTGGGCTTGAATCTCCAACCTTCTACTTAGCAGTCAAATGCCTTAGGCACTGCGCCACCAGAGATCCTTAACCTAGGAATACCAAAATACCAAACCAAACTCACTGCTGTCGAGTTGGATCCTACTCATAGTGATCCCTCTTTGGGTTTCCGAGGTGGTATCTCTATGGAAGCAGATTGCCCAATCTTCCTTCCGGGGAGTGGCTGGCTGGTGGTTTGAACCACCAACCTTCTGGTTAGCAGTCAAATGGCTTAGGCACTATGCCACGAGAGCTCTCAACCTAAGAGTTGTTGTTGCTGTTACGTGCCGTCGAGTAGGACCCGACTCATAGTGACCCCTCCTTGGGTTTCTGAGGCAGTATCACTAAGGAAGTAGATTGCCTCATCTTCCTTCCAAGGAGTGGCTGGTGGGTTTGAACCACCAGCCTTCTGATTAGCAGTCAAGTGCCTTAGGCACTATGCTATCAGAGCTAAGAGTTGTTGTGTTGTTGTTATGTGCCGTTGAGTCAAACCCGACTCATAGCAACCCCTCCTTGGGTTTCCGAGGCAGTATCACTACGGAAGTAGGATTGCCCAACCTTCCTTCCCAGGAGTAGGAAGGTTAAAATAAATCTGCATCTCCATTGCTGTTTTGAAGTAAAAGTAATGGGATTTATGTGTTTAAAGTCTAGCAGTAGTTTCTGGAATTTACTGGTACTACTTATTATCATGTTAACAGAAATCTAAAATTTCAAGATGAATGAATAAGCATACACACACACACACACCACTCTTTATTATAGAATACTTACAATAATTCATTTTTCAAAACCCATTGCCATTGAGACAATTCTGACTCATAGTGATCCTAGAGGACAGAGTAGAACTGCCCCGTAGGGTTTCCAAGGCTGTAGATTTTTATAGAAGCAGATTGCCACATCTTTCTTCCATGGAAAGACTGGTGGGTTGGAACTACTGACCTTTCTGTTGCTAACTTTCAGTTAGTAGCTGAGTGCATAACCACTGTATCACTAGGGATCCTTTCATAACTCCTCTACTAAACACAAACACTATTGTTTATGTAGTATGAGAGGCATGATGTAAATATGCTAAAACAAATATGGTAGAGAATAGCCTCAAATGGCACTGTCTTTATTTTCTACCAGTTCTGATATTTGATTTAGAGATATTCCCTTCTTCCATCCTACCTTCATCCCAAAGTAAAATAAAGAAAAAAAAAGCAAGTAACCTGGATATGTTTTATAAGGCTATCTCTGAATGAGGAGCTCTGGTGGCATGTACCTAAGGCATTCAGAGCACATGGAAACCTTACTAAGGAGCCAAAAAATAGCCAACAAAAA